GGTGGCTCGAATACAGCTGGGTGACACGTAGAAATAGTAAATGGAACTTTAGCCTTGCTGTTCTCCCTTCTCAGAATTACTATAATCATGTGGTTTACATCCTATTCATTTTATTTATCCATCCACATGCCCATCCATCCATCCATATGTCCACCCACCCAACCATCCATCCACTCATCCATCCACCCATCCACCCACCCACCCATGCATCTGTGCATCTGTCCATCCCCTACTAGGTGCTAGGCATTGGAGATATGACATGAATTAGATATAGTCCCTGTTCCCAAGGAGCTCACAGGAGGGGCAGGGTGGAGTTGAGGGAAGGTGGTGGTAGTTATGATGCCAGACATTTCAGGAGATAATAATTCTACAAGGAAATCAGTATTAAGATTATGATATGCATAGGATTTTGTGGAAACAGGGACACCACATACTTCCCACATTGGATTTTAATATTCACCATCTCAGTATGAAGAGCTCTCTCTCTGACAATTTATTTATATCAACATGCAAATAAAATAGAAATTTTCCTCAAATTAGATCAAGGCCCTTAGTTGCTCACAGGAATACACATTTAGCTATTTAGCTTTTCCCTGCAAGTCCAACCTTCTCAGTCATATTTAAAACATAATGTGTACATGTATTACTGCTAATGTTTGAGAGCAGACTAATGACTAACCAGGGCCTGAGGGCTGTAGCATGTTTAATGTGAACCAGACTCTCAGAAGATCCAGCTGAGGTACGGTTAATTTGGTGAATTAAACCTTTGGAGCTTCACTGTATGTGTGTGTATCCACAGTGGAGAGAGAGTAGGAACACTTATCTTTTCATTTATTTGGACATTAGTTAGCTAATTAGTATTTTATTAGTCCATCCCTTGTAACACATAGACTTCGGGTCATGTTCTTATGCTCCTTTTTAGGCTGCTATTATGGAGGCTGTTTGTGTCATAAATTATCACAAGTCAATTTCTTTTGTTAGATGCTAAGTGGTAATGTGAATAAGGGCCATCATCATCATCATTGCTGTTGTTATTATTTTTATCAGGGCTTAAACATGTCAGAAGAGAAAAGAAAATCCTGTGGTCCTAATGAGATCTTGCTCAGTTATACCTAAAAATATTTAAATTCACGGCGATTCACACTGATTTGAATAAATAACGTTCACATCTATTGAAAGAATAATTGCTATAGAAATCCTGCTCTAACCCATCCTATCTTTATAGTGGTTCTCCGGTATTTATTTTTAAAACAGTATCAAATTACTGGAAACTTAAAGCCTGTAGCCCTAATGGTTGTGAAACCAAACTACATTTGATGGTAGTTGAAGAAAATTAAACTGAGAGCCTGGATTTCAGTTTGCAGTCCACAATATTTATGTTTCTGTGTTTGTAATGCTTTCATGAATAGATTTGTCTTTGATATGCTTTATAGCATCAATGATTCACTTCTGTGACATAAAATAAATAAATACAGAATAAGAAATGTGGGTTTCTGAATTTCTTGGTGGTAGATAGATATTAGTGCTTTTGTAACCTTAACAGTTGAAATAATAAAAAGAAAAAAATTGGTGAGGGTTGAGTGACAGCACAGATTGTTTGGTAAGAAATGAATTTATGTGGCTTTCATCTCCTAACGTCCTTTGGTACGTTAGGACTGAGGCATAACCTAGTGAATTCTTGAATCCTTATTTTCTGATTATGGTGTAATTTTGAACATGGGAAGAGACCTAGCGTGTGATACCCATCATCTATTGCTTTCTTGTCTTTCCTGTTTCCTGAAGCTCAGATACCACCCATACTGTTTCCCATTTTTATACTACATAGGGCTGAGGCAAAGCTCCAAACTGCAGAGCAATGCAAGGGAGAAGTGAGGGTGTCTGATACGCTGGAAGGCCCCCAAAGGCTCACAAGACACACAGGAAGGAGCAGCCCTTCTCATGTGGCCTGACAGTAACACCGTGAGTGCTTCCTGATCTTTCCACCACCAGGAAGAGAGGGCAGACAGAATAGGCAGAGGCAATATAGCGCATTTGTTCATTCATTACTCACTTACTCAACTAATATTTATTGAATGCTTATGGTGTGCCAATCACCAAGGTTGGTTCTGGGAATTTGAAGATGAATAAGTTACCATCCTTGCCTTCAAGGTGTTTCAGTCTAGCGGGGAGAGATTTAAACCAGTAATTAAACTCGCGAAAGTAATTATTATAATGGGGAGCAGCTTTGAATAGAAAACAGCACAGATGTGGAGACCAATTCCACTCACACCCTGTTGTGAGAGCTTCGTAACCCAGAAGAAGGGGGTGCTTACTGCCTTTGAAATTATTTCTTCATCTGTTAGGAAAGGCGAACATCTTCTACCTTGCAGTTAATGTTTGTCAAGTGCCCAATAGAGGGCCTGGCATTGGGTAAAAGGCAGAGTGCGGGTGTGCCTCAGGAGCTCATACAGGTCTCAGGGCAGTGGGTCCACTGAGTCCTAAATCCCAAATCCCCCGTGCAAGAATGGCCTTCATGGGAACACGCCAAGCACTAGCAAGGCGTCGCCACTGACAGAATTTGGTCCTTATCACCCAGCTGGTCATTGTCACTAGGTAGTAAGATTTTAAAAGAAAACAACTTCTGCTGACAGCTCAAAAAAGCCCATTTTTGTTGTTGCCCAATTTCTGACACTTTAATGAGTTCCACGTGACTCACATTTTGCCACTTAGCTCCTTGTTTACTTGAAGAACCTTGCACTTCTACTAGCCCCCTTCTAGGCCTTCCATAGCTTTTCCTCTTGACCTTCTCTCCACTCTGTTTCACTGTATTTGAGAAGTATTATGTTTTGAAGTAATAGTATATATATTACAATATATATGGATTGTAAAAAAAAATAAAGAGAATTTGTTTGGTCACTGCTGCCTTTTTATGAACCAAAAGCTATTGGTTAATGTTATGGAGCTCTTACTGTTAGGCACCATGTTTTATGCATCATATCAGTGCTTCTCAGACTTTAGCATAAATACGTGTCACCTGGGGATCTTGTTAAAAGGTAGACTTTGATTCATTCAGTCTGGGGGCAGAGCTTGAGAGTCTACGCTTCTAACAGGCTCTTGGGTGGTGCTGCTGGCCCACAGACTGCATTTTGAAGAGCAAGGTATTGTATCATTTGATCCTGACGACAACACTACAAGGGATTACTTTTCCCATTTTACATATGTGGAGGCGTTATGCAATTTTCTCAAGGTCATGTTGCTAGAAACTAGCCAAGCTCAAGCCCTAAACCCAGCTCTGCCTCTTGGTATAGTGTATGTTATCTGGGTTTTGGAAATGTTCTACAAAACCCAAGGCTGATCTAATGCTACCTGAAATGGAATTTATACTTCTAGTTATGTTTTTAAAATGTAATTTCTTTTCCAATTTAATTTCTCTTCATGCAGGACCATGTATTACGTGGTGATTCAGATGTGTTGGATTTTGTTTCTAAAAATATGTAAAGTTTAGTATGATTTATTTGCCAAAACTGTAGTTTAGGAAACATGGTGCAATTTTTGTAATCTGGATTGAACACAAGGGGAAATTGCTGGGGAAGGATGCATGTGAGGAAAGGAAATCCTCAGGCTGATTTATTGTTTAACGCTCAGCGTACACCGTGTGCTACGATTTTCACAGGCTAATGGAAAAAGGCACAGTCCCTGTCCTTAACAGATCAGATATACTTAAAATTTTTTTTCCTTCTTTCTCATAAAAATACGGTTCATAATAGAAAATTTGAGCTACGGAAGTGTAATAAAAAAATCTAAAACCCCACTTTTTATTTTCAAAATTTAGAAGTGTACATCTGGAAAGGGCGAGCCACGACCACATTTATACAGAACAGTAGTTCAATGTGGTAGTATCTTGCCATGAATAGTTTAAACATTGTCTTTGGTTTTGAGGGGCAGTGGGAGTAAAAGCGGCCCAATCTGGAGTCCCCCGAGGTTGCAGGAAATATTAATGCGCTGCTTCAGTCAGCTCTGAGATCTGGGGTTATGTTCCAACTTCTCTAAGGGGCCCAAAGCTGGGCCCGACCTGCGCAGCTGAGGACCGACGCTAATTGCTCTCCAACCTGGTCCCGGGTCACCGGCGCATGCGCGGGTGGCCGCCTGCGCTCCGAGGGCTTCTCGCCGGCCTATTTCTCCCTCGCTGCTTTCTGTGCGGTCAGAAGAGTGTCAGGACTGCGGCGGCGATGAACAGTTACGGGGCTGAGAGAGAAACCGTCTCTAAGTGAAAAACACCTGGCGTCGAAATACGCTGGGGGGTTAGGGGTAGGTTTCCGCAGGCGTCTCCACAACACACTTGTAAGGTGCCAGAACATCCTTACCAGCAACTAACTTGGAGACAGGAATTATCTGCAGGAAGAGAATTTAGGGGCTAGAACGGGAAGGGGTGAGGGGTGACGATCTCTAAAAGTTTCAGCACGGCGTTCTCAAGATGCTCTGGGCCCTTTTTTCATTTCTCCAGGGAGTCCTGGTGCCCCAATTAATCTTTCGCTCCCCTCGGACCCTTTAAGAAATTGCAGTCGCCATCGGGGGGGGTCCCCAGTAGGAGCCCCTCTGTATTACAGCGTTCAGCCCCACTTTCCCCAAAGCGGGAAGCCGTCCCGAGGGAAAAATCCCCAGACGCCAGCGGTGGGGTTGGGGGGTGGACCCTCCGCAAACCTGCGGGCTTGAGGTAGGAGGGGGCGCTAGGCTCCCGAGCACCGACCCCAGGCCGGGGCGGCGACGGCGGCGGCGCTCTCCCACCGCGCCTCTGGGGACTCGCAGACGGCAGCGAGACCGGCCGGCGCGCTGGGCATGCTCAGTCGCCGGGCGCCGCGCTCGCGAGTCGGAAGCCTGTGCGCCGCCGCCGCCGAACCGGCCGGGGCGCACGGAGAGCGCGCGGGACTCGCTGCAGCTGCGGCCGGGCGGAGGAGGAGCCGGGCGGGGACAGGACCCGAGGCCCGCGCGGAGCCCCCGACCTGCCGGCCGCGGCGCCCGCTCCCCCGCTCCCCCGCAGGGCAGGGGCCGGCCGCGGCTGGCGTCGGCGGGGCGTGGAGGAACGGCAACGGCGGCGGCAGCCGCATCCTCGCCGCCTTTCCCGGCCGGGCCGCGTACCGGAGCCGTCGGGCATGGAGCCGTGGAAGCAGTGCGCGCAGTGGCTCATCCACTGCAAGGTGCTGCCCGCCAACCACCGGGTGACCTGGGACTCGGCGCAGGTGTTCGACCTGGCGCAGACCCTCCGCGATGGAGTCCTGCTCTGCCAGCTACTCAACAATCTCCGGGCGCACTCCATCAACCTGAAGGAGATCAACTTGAGGCCGCAGATGTCCCAGGTAAGGGAGCCGGCGCGGGCGCCTCCGCCTCCAGCCGGCATCTCCCATTAATCATCCGGCTAATTTCTTTGTGTAAATGCAAACATCTAGGTGCGCTCAGCTTGCCCTGCCTCCCAGCCTTCTGCTTTGGGGACCGCTTCGGCTTTTCGTACTTTGGCTTGAAATGGTTTAGGTGGTTTAGGTCTTTAGCAGAACGTGGAAGTCCTGCGTCCGGAGATGGTATGAGGGCTTCGTAAAGGCTTTCTGTGAGGCGGGAAAAAAAAAACACAAAAAACTGTCTTAGGGTGCCCTTCACCTACTTTTGTGCGTTTGTGTCTGTGTAGGGCAACAAAAGGAATCTGATCCAGCTCTTTTACAATAACAATGGTGAGGGATAAACGGAGATGATGGGGTGATTTTGCTTTTAGTCTGTTCTTTTGCTTTGCGTTTCGTCCCCATGTTTTCTTGAAAGAGGAACCATAACATAAATGATGACTCTAGGAAGTGGAGGGCGTTCCGGTACCGCTATCTGTACAGGAATGACACTGGTCAAAGGGAGGAAAAGGGAGCACCATGCAGCGGTTGTCCCCGAAAGCCCCTCGAGCTTGTGGCCAGCTGCCGAGCTAGGCTGTGTTTACAGCTCTTCTTAAGCCATGTGAGAAGGAGGGAGTCCAATCTCTCTCAGCAGCGACAGGAAACAAGTTTCTCTAGAGATTGTGCTTTCCTTCATTCAGGGCTTGCTCAGGTGGTGTGGTGCCCTCTTGGCTCCTCTAGCCTTGCCTGGAGGTGCCTCTTCGAGGGGTTACAAAAACCCAACGACTCTGGAAGGCTGTGTGCATCCTAGAGTCAGCTCAGAAGTCACCGCTCAGGGAATAGTAGTTTCGTGGTCCTGTCAGAAAGTTTCCACGCAGAAAGATCTTAAACACCAGTCAGCACATCTATTTTCTCTTTGTAATATTAAAAAACCACTTTCAACTTAAAAGGGAGGAGGGGTCCTCTCCAAGACGCATTTTATCACTAATCCTGAATGATAGAGCCTCAACTACTTGGCAGCCTTTTACAATGGAACTGACTTCATAAAATCGAATAATTATGTATTTAAAGTTAGAGCACATACATTCATCTCTTCTTCACGTCAATGTTTCACCAGGGTCCCTCTGCACCCCAGATTGTGCATTCCTTGCCTAGCCTATCCGCTTTCAGTCAGCTGGTCAGCAGTCCCCCAGACAGAACAGGTTTGTAAGTGGTGAGAACTATATGATTTTAGAAGTGAGGTAAATTATTTCATACTTTCCCATAATCCTGGGTGATGAGTGCCGTATCTGTGGACCCGTTCAGAGTTGTCTCAATTCTGGATATCCTGTTAAGGGTGTTTTGTTTTTTGTTTTTTTTTTGAAATTTTATTTGAGAGAGAGAGAAACAGAGCACAAGCAGAGGGAGAGGGAGAAGCAGACTCCCCAGTGAGCAGTTAGCCAGAAGACGTGGGACTCGATCCCAGAACTCTGGGATCATGACCTGAGCTGAAGGCAGACACTTAACTGACTGAGCCAACCAGGCGCCCCCTGTTAAGGGGTTTAACAGACATTTCCATTAAGCTGGAAGCTGCTGCTCTGAGCAAAGTTCTGTAGGGAGCTGCAGTTGGTTGTGAATTTACAGATCACCATTTTCCACCTGGCTTATAGCCTCAGGAGGCAGTGTGGATCAGGATGCTTTGGCCCTCCAGCAGGGAATACAGTATTGTGTGCACTTCCTGAAACTTCAGTTTCCTGGAACCCTCAGGGGTTGTGCAATAAGTTCTCAATAATCAATTTTTCTGGACAGCTGAGGATCTTCCTCTTTTAATCTTCTAACCTTTCTTTGAATGTTAACAGTGGATGAGAATCTTTCCAAATGTGTTTTTGCTCTTTGTTGAATATAGCCAATGTAATTTAGTCTTTCTGATCACTGAGGAGCATCATTATAAGCATCATTAATGAAAATGGAGCACATATGATGCTCCAAGAACTCGATTCCCTGCTGGGGGTACTGCAATGAACTCATCAGGATCCTTGCCCTAAAGGAATTATTACAATATGCTATCAGATAAGCCACTGGCTTATAAGGAGATAAACAGCTGAATGACTTTCCTTAGGCTGTTTTGCTTTTGGAATCTTAAGCCTGTCCAGTCCTGAGATTTCTGGTTCCAAATTCAATGCAATTTTCTCTGTAAGGTCCTGTGAGTGAGGGCTTCTCGCAAAAGTGAACCCCTGAAGGCTAGTACCTGAATCTGATTATGGCTGTCTTTGCTTCTTTCTTGGTTCTTGACCACATTGCAGAGAGAGAAGGTTGCTGAACAGCTGAGTGCTAGACAGATGAGTTTGTGTTATACAGATTGTCACTAAATCCTTAAATGACACTTATTAATGATTTCATTAAACAAGGTGACCTATTTAACATGCCTACAGTGCCCAGCACTTAGTAGGTGTTCACTATTAGTAAAATTACTTAAAACATTTTTTTTCCTGCTGTCATATTAAGAGTAATAGGTTGCAGTCAAAATTTTAAAACAATCACAAGGTCTGTAAACCCCTTTGGACTGACATCTCTTGTTTCTGCATCTAACTACTCCCATCTTTCTACCTGCTTCTGGTTATAAGACTCCTACCCCATCAGCAATATTCATATTGTATAGTGAATAACCTAGTAACCTAGTGAAATCCTGACATGCATCCCAGCAGACTTTATTCTTCTGAATTTCGAGATGTCATTGCTACTACTTGTGGCTTTTACTGTTTTTAGTATCTAAGAGTCATTCTGTCCAGCTGATTTAGGTTCTATGGAAGATATTAATTTGAATTTCCTTATAGCACATGATCTTCTTGGCCAGGAAATAACTAGAAGTTTTCACTTCAGAGTTTTGGCGTTTGAGACTGTGATGAACAGAAATTGACAAAGGAAATTTTAGTTGTTGGTGTTTTGTTTATTGGCTGTTTTTAATTATTCTGTAAGAGGCTATAAAATGACTAGCCTCTTTTAATAAGAGTGTTTATCTCCAATGAGTGTGATGTCTTCCATTTTCTTACTGTTCACCTTCTACCTTGTTTGCATTAAAAAAAAAAAAAACACTGCAAATAATTGCTCAATTACAGGTTTAAATCTTGAGGTTTTAAGTTAATTATCTTTCAAAAGAGAATTATAAATGGGATCCCAGTCTCATATTCTTCCTGGCTGTGGATATCAGCCTCCTTTTAGTCTTGCTATGTTGGTAAAAGGAGGATCATCTTCAGTTCAGAAGTAAGTACTTTTTTTTATGGGGCACCTGGGTGGCTCAGTCGGTTAAGCTTCTGTCTGCCTTTGGCTCAGGTCATGATTCCCAGCGTCCTGGAATTGAGCCCCATGTTGGGGCTCCCTGATCTGGGATTCTGCTTCTCTCTCTGTCTCTGCCCCTCCACACCTCTAACCGCCCCCCATGCTTGCTCTCAAATCTTTAAAAGATTTAAAAGAAGTACTTCTTTTAAAACCCTGATTTAGAATTTGTTTAAAATGAATTAAAGAGGTAAACATTGATCAGTAGTTACCCATTTAACATGTTCCTTTTATAAAGAATAAATCTAGATGAGTCATGAAAGTCCAAGAAATTTGGCATCTGGATTTATTTTTCATCCGAAAGGGTGTTCTAGCTAGGATAAAAAACACATAAACAGTTCTGGGAGAGAAGAGCCTATCTGTGGTAGTTGTATTGGGGGTGCATTGTGGAAGGGCATGGGTTGTAGCCTTGATGTCATTTTTAGTGGTTAAGAAGGTCTCCGTGAATGCCTATAACCAACCGTAGATCTGTCAATGAGATTATCTTAATCTTACTACTTGGAAATGGAAAAATTTTTCTTTATGTCCTGGGATGAGAGTAATACACCTTATGAATTTACTGACCACTGTGTATGGTATAGGTAAACTTTGAATTGTCTTAAAGTGAATTCAGGCTTTCAGGGTTCTTTCAACAAATATCTGGCTCTATGTGCCAGGCACTGTTGTAGATACTGGCTTGGAGCAATAAACAAAGGCAACAAAATTCCTATCCTAAAAGAATTTATATTTTAGTGGGGGAGATGGACAATAAAGAAATGACTATATGTATATGTCCTATGAAGAGATTTCAACCCAGTAAGGGACTAGAGCAAAATGTGATTCGATTTCATAGAAGGTAGTCAAGAAGGGCTTCTCTGAGGAGGTGACAATTGAGCAGGGACCTGAAGGGAGTAAGGGAATGCAGGAATATGGATGTTTGAAAGATTATTGCTGGCAGAGGGAGTACCGAGTACAAAGGTCCTGAGGTCAGTTAAATGATGGGTATCCTGGAGGAATAGCAAAGCCTTTGTGGCTGGAGGAGAGTGAGTGTGGGCAAGAGTGGTCATGATGAGGTCAGAGAGAAAATGGGAGCCAGATTTTTAAGACTAATGTGTCCTTGTAAGGACTTGGACTTTCTACTCCGAGTGAAATGGGAAGTCCCCTGACCTGACTTACCTTTTCAACAGGGTCAGTCTGGCTGTGTGCCGAGAGTAAACTGTAGAACAGCAAGAATGGAAACTGGCTAATACAGTCACCCCAGCAAGAGATGATGGCAGCTCTGGCCAGAGCGATAGCCGGGCAGATGGTGAGAAATAGTTCAGTTCTGCATATGTTTTGAAGGGAGAGTCAGCAGGGGTTTATTGACGGAGCCTGATTAGGTGTATGGGAAGAGAGGAGCCAAGAATGAGTCCAAAATTTTGGCCTGAGAAATTGGAAAGACGGAGTTGCCCTTAGATGAGGAAAACTGGAGCAAGGATAGCTTTCAGCGGATGTCTAAAGGGAGCAGGGAGATCCGGAGCCAGTTATGTTTGAAATGCCCTGTAGGCATTTAGGTGGAGATGCTGAGCAGGCAGTGGTGAAGTTGGGGATATAGATGTGAATTTTGGAGTCCTCAGGGTATAGGTGATGTTTAAAATCATGAGACAGGATGATATCACGTAGGGAGTAGTGTAGAAAGAAAAGGTCAAAGGAGTGAA